GTTTTGTGGATATATGTGTCTTAGACATCATAGAATAGACTCTGCATGCTTTGCTTTGGATCACATGACCAGGAGGGAGGGGCTTAGAAGGCAGCAATTATGGTTTTCTCCACAGTGAATTTCTTGGGTTGGTTTTTGTTGTTGTTGTTGTTTAACTCAGTGCCTATCGTACTTTTTCTGGTTGTGTTTCTTGGAGAGTTACCTTGCTGATGAACAGACATACAGATAGACAAATTCCTGAGTTTCCTTATATAATTTATTTCCAACATTTTTTGGGTTGGAAAGAATAATTTGAGCAAAAGCAAAAACTGTTTTTCACTCAATTATTGCATAGTTCTTACAGCAATATCAAGAACTATCCAAAATATAAATATAAACTTTGAAAAAACAGAACAATACAGGGCCCAATTTGATGTGGGGACAAAAGCTAGCAAACTAATAGTCACGTTTGAAAGAGAGGCTGATCAAACCACAATCTGCAGAGAAAGAGAAAGAGAAAAATTTCCCTGATGTATTTATCTGGGAAAGGTAACTGGTAGTTTCCTTCCTTCCTTCCTTCCTTCCTTCCTTCCTTCCTTCCTTCCTTCCTTCCTTCCTTCCTTCCTTCCTTCTGCCATGCCATGCCATGCCATGCCATGCCATGCCATGCCTACCAATTCTGCATAGCATACAAACAGAAACAGGAACTTTAAACAAACCACAATGGGACTATAGTGATACTCCTCATCAGACAGTACCACTATTGCCACCTTGTATTTTGTGATTGTTTTAACAGGAGGCAGGCCTAACGTTAATGTCCCCCCAAATGTTCCATCAAACTACCCTACTAAAAAATTCATCAGCGGTTGTTGCATAGTGTGCGGGAGTGATTGCAGATGCCTGCAGATGGAACTCCTTTGGGGTTGGGACTCTAAGCCAGCCTTCTCTCCCTGATCCCAACAAACAAGTTGTCAGTATAAAACTCTCAGGGATTTGCAGTGAGCTAATATACAGTTTCAAAATACTGTTCCGTGGTTTGCTGATGTATTCTTAATGACAAACCAACAATGGAAATCATGCCATTCTCACAAAAGAACAAGCCAGTCAACCACATAGTTCATTGCAGTGAGCAAATGCACCTAAAATACCTATTTATTGTGTGGTCTATATTTTGCCTCCAGTCACTGATGCATTCTGCCCTTTAATACCAGTTGATGAAAAATACAAAAGGGAAGAGTCTGTTCTGCTGTTGTACTTGGCTGTTTCCCTTAGGCACTGAATTGGCAACTGCACAGATTTTTGATTCAAAGCTCATTTTACAGTAACATTTAATGATGGCTCTCTTTACATTTGAAAAAAAAATAGGATGTATTAATATTGCAGAATCCAACCTCGGTCGGTCACCTGGAGCCTGTTATTTGTGGTGTTTTAGATGTTGATTGGGGTGTTGATGGCTGGCTATTAAATCATTGGCTGTTGTTTGTTTTGTTGCCAAGCCTTCACCTCCTACGTACTCAGTAAGCTGGTGGTCAATCATAGCTAGCCATCAACACCCCAATCAACATCTAAAAAGTCACATAACGAGAGGCGCCATATAAATACCACACATAAAGCAAATACTCTGTGAGAGAGACATTTCCTGAATATGGGCTCCAAGTCTGAAGGTTTGGAAAAATAAACCTCTGGTCCTGGTGACAGACTCAGATTGGATCTTGCAACATTATCCTGAAACTTGTATATTTGCCTTCATCCGTGTGTTAATATTGTTGGCTATGAAATACTGTTTTAGAAAGCAGGAAGAGATTACTTCTGCTTTTTCAAATAGTAGCAGAAGAAGGGCCTCTGATACCAATCTTAATTTAAAAAAATGTTTATACAAATGTAGTAATCCTTTAGATCGGGGCTGGGCAATTCATTTTCCCAAGGAACCATATGAGAAAATGGGATTGCTGTGGAGGGCCGAACCAATGTACCCTGATTTGATGTCCTCAAACTCTGCCACCTCATCTCCTCTTTCAGGTGAGGGGTGCGTAAAAGCAGAAAAGTCCTTTCTCTCCTCCCCTTCCCATGGCCACCAGCCAATTGAAGGAGTGCACGGGCGGTTGCGCAGAGTGGGACCTAACTTGGAAGCTTTTCCTGCCCCCTACGGTGCACTTATTTACATTTGATTTCTAATTTCCAATTGACTTCATGATGGCCAGACAGGGATAGTCAAAGGGCAGATATAGCCCAGGGGCTGTAAAATGCCTAGGTCTGTTTTAGATTATGCCAGAAATAGTATTAATGTATTAATCCTACTGCAATTAATACAATGTGATACAATACGTTATTCTGAATATTGTACTGGTACAACACAACCTGTTCTAAATTCATGTAGGTAATCCTTGATTTATGACCATTTGTTTACTGGCTTTTCAAAAGTGAAAAAAGTGACTTACAACAAGTCTTTGTGCTTATGACCATCACAGCATCTCTATAGTCATGTGATCAAATCATGATGACTGACTTAATAATCATCTTGCTGAACAATGGAAGTTCCACTCCTAATTGTGGTTATAAACCTGTAGTCCTGACAAGTACCCAAGAAGCCATTTGTGTAAAGTCATGAATTGCCTTCCAAAGCAGCTCAACCATAGGGTATTATGACAAGGCAAGGTATTAATGCATGCATGACTGAAGGCAAAATCATGCAGTGTGCTTCTAAGGAGAAGGGAGCAGCAGAAACCAATTGTTTATAATATTTTCCTGAAATAAAATAATCAGAATTAAATAGAATTGTCTTCTGATACATGAAATATTTAGGAAAGATTCATCCATTTGTCAGTATTCTTTTCATGATCCTACGATTAGGATTAACTGTGTCTTTCATTGTGCCATTAAATGATATTTGAATAGTATTATGAACACAACCTGATGTGGAAGAGTAATTGCAAGTGTCCATAGTAAATCTTGATGACAGCAAAATGACAACATTTTGTGCAGCAGCATTGTACAGATTTTGTCATTACTTACTTGCATGCCAACATCTGATGCAAGCATACAAGTTGTGACATTTGAATGATGCCATCGCACACATTTTGCCATTTCGTCCTCTCTTGTGTCCCCTGCAGGTTCCCAAGCCTGGTTGCTTCTTCTAGTTATGTGTTGCAAATGACTTGAGTTAAAAGGACACCATCAAGTGCTGTAGACCAGTTAAGATGTTGTTCCATAGGGACGCCGTGAACTGTAACTTTTATGTTTTTAAGAAAAAGAGAGCCAACAGTTGTCCACTGTGGACACTCACATTTTAGAGATACTTCTGAAATAACACCTTATATACTCTTGCTCCATGTTTTCCAGCTTAATATTTCTTTTTCAGAAATATTTATAGATCCTGAAAGTTTTAAATATTTGCATAGTGTGTTAGAATTCATTTTTTTTTAAAAAAGTGTTTCACATAGTGATAGCATGTTGCATATAAACACCACTCCTAGTCACTTTGTTTGTAAATTGAGGGCACTGACTTCTTATACTCTGAGCAGAAACTGAAAAGTAGTAAATGCTTAAGTTGCTAACCTTGGTTCAGGCCATAACAGTTAAGAAATCATAACCATAATGATTAGAATACTGAGATATCTTTAATTTCATTAGAGAAAAGAGAGTATCTGTTTACTGCTGCCTGTAACCTGTGCAAAATGTATGGTTTTAATGTTTAAAATAAGATAGATTATAGAAAGAATAGATTCACAGTATAACTTTAGAGAAAGAGATAATTCTACAATTATACTTATAACTGCTATAAAGAAGATCAGAAACTACTTCTTTATATCTTTTTTCTTTTCTATTTTTCTTCTACATTTTTTCTTTTTTTTTCGCACTTTGGCTTTCTCTTTTATTTCTTTCTTTTTTCATTTTTACTCTATTTTCATTTGTATTAATTTTTTATCTTAATAATAATAATAATGATAAAGTTGGAAGGGACCTTGGAGGTCATCTAATCCAACCCCCTGCTCAGGCAGGAAACCCTATACCATTTCGGACAAATGGCTGTCCAATTTCTTCTTAAAAACTTCCAGTGTTGGAGCATTCACCGCTTCTGGAGGCAGGTTGTTCCACTGGTTAATTGCTCTAACTGTCAGGAAGTTTCTCCTTAGTTCTAGGTTGCTTCTCTCCTTGATCAGTTTCCATCCGTTGCTTCTTGTCCTGCCTTCAGGCACTTTGGAAAATAGCTTCACTCCCTCTTCTTTGTGGCAGCCCCTGAGATATTGGAACACTGCTATCATGTCCCCCCTCTTCCTTCTCTTTGTTAAACTAGACTATTCTTGTTTTTGAATCTTTCAATAATATTATTTATTTATTTTTATTTATTTACTATGAAATTTATATGCTGCCCATCTTGTTGTCCAGAGTGATGCTGGGCAACTTACAAGTAATAAAAATAGCAATATAAAAACAAATCACATACACACATTCTCTCACACACACACATATACACACAAACACATACAGAGACACACACACACACACAAACACGGGATTATCTTTTAAAGAGAGAGAGTGAATGTGTAAATGAAAATAAAAATATTAATCCTATTTCTGCTCTTGTAGTATAAGAGGGCTAGGCCTGATGTAGTTGTGTGCATATCTGATTTTATCTTAATTTCCAAGTCACAAAAGCTGCTTCTTCCATAATAAGACTTCAAATGCCTAAAATCAGCAGAATGTGGGAGATTTTGTTTGTTTTTTTAACACCAGACTTTTTAAAGAGAATAAAGTACTAAATGTGTTCATATCTCTTGTCTTAACATGACAAAATAAAGTTCAACTCTTCATTTAAATACCTACTAACTGAGGCAAATAGTCAGGAAGAAGAGATAAGTACTGGGCAAATTGTGCAGGAACTTTTTAACCCAGTAGAAACAAATGAATAATTAAATTAAATAAATAAATGAATAATTAAAGCTTCCATTGTGGCATACGTACTATATGGTACATGGTGCCTTGGCCTGACCCTGTCTTTATATTCTTGTTTCGTTTCACAGATAGCAGGAGCTTTATGGTGGTACTACATATCCAAAGGGATTGAGTATCTGGACACAATATTCTTCATCCTAAGAAAGAAATTTAATCAAATCAGCTTTCTTCATGTCTATCACCATTTCACTATGTTTACTTTATGGTGGATTGGCATAAAGTGGGTTGCAGGAGGACAAGGTGAGTAAAGTTGTCTACTAAGTGGAAAACGAATATTGAAAGGAAAATGAACGTTCATATAGAATATTAGCATGTACATATTTTCTATACTACAGTTATAAAAATGAGTGTGTGCTTAATTCTGTGGTGTTAATAATTTAAAGACATATTCTTTCTTCTCTGGGAAATGAGGGGGAGGAAAGATATATTACTATAGGCTTTTGAAACCCTTTCCACACCAGCATAAATGCATGATTCAGATTTTAAATCCGTATTCTTCCCCTTGTGTTTAGGTCTATGAACTGCATGAAGCAACAGATAGATCTAACTTGCCTAGCTAAAATTCTGCAACCACAGGCAGATAAATTCTTGATTGTGCCTTGCTTAATTTAGCATGGTGATGAAAGAATCTAGTCAACTAAGTCATAACAATTTTAATAAGACTTCCACTTATGCTTAGAACACTTGTATTTATTTTATGTTTGTTCACTGTGAAAACTAGTTTTAATTGCTTCATTTTACTCTGTGGATAAAAATTGTACATAAAGGTTATAGTATTAGGTTGTAATGCTTATCACACTTTTCCCATTATTTCTTTATGGTTCCTTAAGTCATACAACTCAAAATCAGAATCTTGGCCTTAGTTTGCATTTTCTGCCTTTAATTATGCATGTTTCCCTGTGTATACATTTCCATAGATTGCCCTATAAATCAGATATTTTATGCTCGTACTAAATAATAAATTCATAATTTCTATTGTATAGTATAACCGTTCGAATTATTCTGCAGTCCCTGTATACTTTATAGTTGTAAACTAATACTTTGAAAGGAGGTTCATTTACCCAAAGTCAACAATCCTTCCAGTACAAGTCTAGAAAAAGGAGCCATCACAAATATCAGTTTTCTGACATGATCAAGTTTTACATTTGCACGTTCAGTCCAGCACAATAAAACTGTGGAGACTATTTCTTTGCTAAGACATCAGTACAGCTAGTCCATGACTTACAGCCTTTCATTTAGTGACCATCAAAGTTACAACAGCACTGAAAAAAGCTTTTTCATAATGACTATTGCAGCATTCCCATGGTCACATGATCAAAACTTGGATGCTTAGCAACTGGTTCATACTTATGACCGTTGCTGTGTCCCAGGGTCATGTGATCATCTTTTGCTGTCTGACATGCAAAGTCAATGGGGAAGCCAGATTCACTTAACAACTGTGTTATTAATTTAACAATTGCAATGATTCACTAAGGCAAAACTCCTTAGTCACATACATTTTGGGCTCAATTGTGGTCATAAGTTGAGGACTACCTGTACAACTAGGAGTATGGAAGAGTTATTCATTGCTTATCGTCTACTGGACTGAAAATGAACATGTAATCACCATACATTTCTACTCTTAGTTGTTCTGTGTGTAGTAAAATTCCAAAATAAGTTTTCCAGGCACACATTTCACATAGAACAAGTGATGCGGGAATATGATGCCATTTTCCGATATTTGTAGCAATTTATGCTTGCAATTAAATTGTACCAATGCATTCAAGCTATAGCATCCCATAGGTGGGCTACCTTAGCATACCATAGGTGGGCTTTTATATGGGTAAAAGAAGAGCCTTGCTTTTTTTCTTCTTCTTATCCTCTGATCTACCGCTGAGAAATTATAACTTTTCAAAATTATAAGGAGACAGGGTGAGAAAAACTGATATCAAGACATTGTGCTTTCTTCTCCTTGGTGAGAAAAATTAAATATCATTGAATATGGTTACCTTAATGATTTCGGTAATGTTCTTATTTTGTTTCTTCTACCCAACAGCATTTTTTGGAGCTCATATGAATGCTTTCATTCATGTTGTTATGTACATGTATTATGGACTAGCTGCCTGTGGCCCAAAGTTCCACAAGTATCTTTGGTGGAAACGATACTTGACCATAATGCAATTAGTAAGTATTTTTTTTAAAATCTATCAGTTATTTTTTAAATTGTATCTTTTCAGTGTGGGAACTTTGAAAGTAATAAGCACCTTTAGAGAGTCTCTTTTTCAACATGAGGAAACTCACGCAGAAGAAACCCTTACCTGTTCTCTATGTGTTGCCATCAGCATATAGAGAATTACAAGAATGGCAACAAGATACTTATCTAGAACTTTTATAGCTGTTCTCCCTTTTCCCATACAATCACTCCTCATTTACTGACTGCACTCCATTCCAACGATCATATCATGAAGCAAAAGGGTCACTAAGTGAGCATGTATTGATAGAAGAAGTTGCAGCGAAGATCACTAGTCAATGCTGTTTCATTCAAATAACATTCTGTTTTACAAGTCCTGTGTCTGACCCATTGTTTCACCACTACCACCACCTTTTAGTGTGGTGTTTTTGTTTAAACAAGCTATCTCTTCCTGAGCTGCTTTTTTCCACAGGGCAGAACCTCCCTAAAAAAATGCTAATCACAAGTTAACAAACTCAGGTCTGTGACCTTAATTAGAACCCTCCAACCAACTGTGCTACTGCCTGAAACTGATCAGACCTTAATCAGTTTCACACCAAAGGCTTTTGTTGTCATAAATGTGCACATTAGTTAGAAAATATTTTTTTTTACCATTGTATTTGTGAATAGTTACTAACCAAGGTAGTAAAAGAGGAGTGGCTGTACAGACAATATATTTTTTAAGAATAATGGGAGAGAGCTTATATATTATAATTATTTAAATCTGCAAAACTTAAGTACGGTTCATATAAGCACACACAATTCTGGTACACTCTCAATTCTCAGTAAAAAAAAAATCCTAATGAGTTATTATCCAATAACTATGAATGTATGTGCAAATATGTATATTAAAAATTACACTAAAAATGGTCGAGTGATTCCTGGGTATATATATGTTAAAAGCTGTACAACGACACTAGAACACCAGGAAGAGTTAAAACCAAAAAAGTTTTAATAAATATTTAAAAACCTAGCTTTCGTTGAATATCTATCAACGTCATCACTGACCAACATACACCCTGATGACGTTGATAGATATTCAACGAAAGCTAGGTTTTTAAATATTTATTAAAACTTTTTTGGTTTTAACTCTTCCTGGTGTTCTAGTGTCGTTGTACAGCTTTTAACAAATATGTATATCTATATACATATTGGCCCCGGACAGCACGCTAAAAATGGGCAAGTCCTTGAAAAGAAATTATTTATTTACTTAAGAAAATTTATATGGCGGCCCAAATCGCTCTCAGTGACTCTGGGGAGCTTACAAGGATAAAATGATACAAGGATACAAAAACAATTTTAAAAAATAGCCTCACTCCCCACCCCTGACAATAACAATCAAGCTTAGGGTTCCAAGTCATGTTCAGTTAGCTTGCTAGCCTCTTCCTCCTCTCATTTCTCATTCATATCCAGGGGCTTCATGTCTGCAATTAAGACCTGCTCTATCTAGAGTGGTGACCTCTATCAGTCTGATTTTTCAGAGTTACTCCGGTGTGCAGATGCTTCCTTCTCCTGGAGAACTTCAGAAGGAAGGCAGGAGTCACTTACTCATCCCCTTTGAAGCAATGGTAGCAATCATTTCCCTGTTTCAACAGCATCTTCCTTTATTGCATTCTCAGCAATATAATGTAAGATGATCCTCCTTCCCTTAGTTCACTAATAATTAGAGAGCCCATCACGCTTTTAAGTAAATAAAGAAATGTACGAATGGCATTCAGGCACTTTTTCAGGGGAAAAAAAAACCCTCACAGAAATCCTAACATAAACTTATTAATCAGGATTAATGGACCTTCTGTTATTCTACTTTTCAGGTTCAGTTCCATTTGACTTTTGGCCACGCCGCCCTGTCTATTTATATTGATTGCCCCTTTCCTAGATGGATGCATTGGGGTGTCATTTTCTATGCCACCACTTTCATTATTCTGTTTGGTAACTTCTACTATCGGACATACAAGATGCCCAAGCAGCCCAAGGAGCTCAAGCAAAAAGAGAAGAATGGCAAGATCACCAATGGCGTAATAGCAAATGGTATAAGGAAATCAGAAAACGGTGCAGTTATGGAAAATGGAAAAGTGCATAAGAAAGCCAAAGGAGAGTAACTTGATTCAAGCCTTAAACATTGCGAGCAGTGAGGATTCTTCAATCTGATAATAAAAGAAAAGGAAATACTGTCCTGTCTTTACCAATTGACCTTTAGGTTATTGAAGAGATAGAAAACATTATTTATGAAGATTGTTTTAACAACAAAAATCCTATTGTAATTATGTAATTATTGAGATTCGTTAACTTTATGTAAACTTTTAGACTGTGGGTGTTGGTAATGTAAGAAAGAATTGCTGCAATATTATTTACTGTCAATCCAATGGTTAAAATTGCAGTTAACCAAGGATACAATTGATTTATTGAAACAGACATCTTTTTGAAAAAGAGAGCTTACAAATTCTACCATTTCTAGTCAATGTTTTAAGCAAAAAAAAAAAAGCCCTCAATGAAAATATGGAGAGGGAGGTTTGCTCTCTTTTTAAATAATTTGTAGTTTCTTAGTCTAAATTATACAGTATTGCTGTATTAGGTTGTTCTAATTTTTCCCTTATGTCTGTTACATTGTTGTTCATTGTGTGAAAATACACCTACCTCTTTATTTGGTAAAAAATAACAACTACTATTAAATATTCATTTCTGAAATAAGGAGCCCGTAATATATTATTTAGAAAAAACATTGGTCTCCCATTAACAAAACACATTTTTTTATTAACAAGCATAAAACGACATTTGAACATCTTTGATGATTCTTGTATCCGATTGCACGAAATGCATGGTGTCGATGCTTTTTCAATGATCAAATGTAAATAGTGGGTGGATCAAGGATATAAATCAATTTTTATTTTGCTAATGGCCTACTTATTTAGCATGGGATGAATTCAATATAAAGAGGAGAGAGATTCATAATTACAAAGAACTTTGCATTTGAAGGCTTGAAATCCATAGTTTACTGGGGTTTAACTGTGGAAGCAAGTACTTTGGTGCCGTGACCAGATGCACTGTACCTATATTGTGGTGAACTGTTTAGTCACACAATAATCTTGCTCTTTGGTACTGTAAAACCTCCAGATTCATGTGTTTAAAACAGGCTCTGTGCATGTACCGATGGCTCTTGCGATCGCATCCCTGCAAGAGCAATAATGGTTTCGTAAAAAGATTCTATTCTTTCCATATCAGCTTCTCTACGTCTTATTTCCATGGATGCTCTTCTCATTCCTTCTGCTGCACTATTGTGGCTTCTCTCTAAAGTTTGATAGAGTACCTCAAGCTCTTCTCCACTATGAACTGCATACATTATATTGCACTACAATGAAGAAAGTACAATAATGACTCTTCATTTGCACAGCCGGACAACTTGGAGAGAAGTCATGATTTGCTCCAGCTTGGAGTGACTTTGAGGGAGAGCTGCATCACCCAGAAGGTCTTTAGATTTCTCCGTTCTAAGTACAAGAGCCCATCCTCATGTATTTTTTGAGAAACAGTTCTTTCTAGCAGCATATTTTATATCATGGAAATAAAGTTATTTAGTTGAGACAGAAGCTCACGGAATATTCTGTTTTATTTTACTTGTCTTGTATTGTCTACAATAAACAACAGGAAAACAAAATCACATTTCTTGATATTCATAATGTCTCTGACTTGAAATTTAAAGGTAATTTAAATGTTTATGTAAATAGCTTGGCTTTGAAGATGGTAACAAATTAACCTGTAGATTAAGACTTGTATCCATAGTAATCCAATTTAGCAATGAAATACTGATGAGCTTCAATTCTCTCATACATACTCTGCAATAAGTCTGTATAAATTCAATTTTACTTATTTATTTACATATATAGGATTGTACTACTGGTCTACATAGCAGATATTATCTGAATGATGGGACCACATACTAACAACTTGAATTTTTGTTGATTTCAGTGAGGAGGCATTATGTTTTTTTCTTGGTTCTTTAGTTCCTTCACTAAAGTTCCTTAGTTCTTCCACTGAAATCAGTAGGCATAATTTTGGCTAGAGACATTTAGGTGCCAGGAAATAAAATAAAATTTGTTTAGATGTATTCTTTCCTTTTTTAGTATATTATAATTTCATTATGGTGTGGTGTAATGTTTTGTCATAATCCAGACTGAATAATTATTTTTATCCAATGGCAGAGTATTGAAAATTATAGTTAAGCATGATTATAGTAAGTCTTACTATATATTTTCAGCCAGATTTCATCTGACATAATTTGATAAATCTCCATGTATTATATGTATTCTAGATTTGTATGCATGAGAGTACAGCTAACTCAGAGCTGTAATTCTAATTCAGGTTTGCTATTGAAATTCTGGATGATTTAGTTCTTGTACATAAGGCCTATGTTGGTAGTAAGGCACCTGCTATTAATACTGAAAGTATTTTTAAGTATGAATTACACCTGCAGTAAGTTCTTTCTTGTCATGCTTGGGTTTGTGAAACACTACTCTGCAGTGACTAAGATTTCAAATTGTTCCATTTTTATTTTTTATTTTTATTTTTATTTTTTGCATTTTTGTACATGTATACATAATTTGTGTACACTGCCCATGAGGTAGTCCTCAACTTATGACATGTTGCTTAGCAACCATTCAAAATTACAAAAGATCCCCTTCCCAACTTATGACCCATTTCCAAAGTTCTGACAGCCACACACATACCCATGATCACATGACGGCGTATTGGGCACTCAGCAACTAGCCCGCATTTATGGCATTAACTTCTAGTTTTCAGCAAAGCCAACCCACAGTGCACAATGGGTTTGCTTTATAACTCTGTTGTTTGCTTTACAACCATAACCTACAATTATGGATCATGAGTCTTGGACTACCAGTATTGATGTACAACAGCTAGAAAGCCATCCATTGACCATTTACTCATGGATGCATCCTTGAATTTGCCTAAAAAGATAACATTTGCCTTTGTTGGTTTGATCGTATTACTTTCTTTCTCATCAAAATTCAGTTCTATTAAATATCAATAAATGAGGAGCAAATGACCATTTGAGGCCAATAGAGACCTTCAAAGGACATGTTATAGATAACTCTCCATAAATGGATCCAATGGAAAGGTTTGCCTATTGAACAAAACAGCTGATGGCCACAAAACAGCTTAGTGGCAAACCGTGACCCTGACACCAGCTCTACCTATCAGGTTATTCCCTTTCAGTGCAATTTCCCATGGTGACTTTTCTGGGTAGGTAGGAACTTTCTAAAAACAAGTACACTGCAGCCACCTATTTGTAGTGTTATCTAACAATATGAAAAGGATGTGAGGATTTTCGTTGGAAATAAAAATAATGCCACAGATGATAGTTTCCTAGCTTCCCGCTTTATAAATTTGATTTAAATTGTGACAGATTCCCATTTTGTTACTTGTTTACATTGATAAGCTTTTGTTTAATGAAAAATTAAGCTAGATGGACACTTAGAGAAATTTCCACAGATACCACATGACCTGCCCCTATGTTGTGATTCTTCAATATTGGAGCCTCTGTATTTCTAGGCTCCCATCATTTCTCCACAACTTTTGAGAACAGATATTGATGGGGACATAATCAAGTAATCTCCTAAAGTACCTATAATATCCTGTCTACTTGCCCCTTTTTCTAGAGTTGTTGTTGTTATTAATTCTCAATCTGTGACCACCTTACCTTTTCAAATTCTCTTTGCCAATAGCTGGGGAGGAAAATGCAGCACAGAAATGCACAAGTTGTGTCCTGAAGATCTTTTAATCTTTCACTTTTGTCAAATCAACCTTCCCATCTCAATAGTTAGGTGATATATGTTGGGCTTGCACAGAATTGCCATAATCAGTTTTGATACATTGCAGTTTGGTTGGGAGCAATAACTCATTATTTATGTGCCATAAGTGACTATATTGCAAGCATTAAGACAGCATTTGGGGCTGGCAGAGGGAGGTTAAAACTTCATTGTAATGCAATGTAACATGACAGAAACCAAACAGCAAAATACATCATGTTTACAAACAACAGAATCTGACTTCAGATTAATGGAGCTGAGAGTGCTATACTTAACAGCACCTTGGTGTCTGCATGTTTTTTGTGGTCATTTGCTTCTCAGCTAATATTTCTGATTTATTTTTTACTAAAAGATAAACTAATTACAGCTCAGTCAGTAACTATATATTGTTCAATTGCTATAATGGTTTTTTTCCCCTAGTCCCCTAGCTCTTTGAAAAATTGGAGGCAAAGGTTGGGGTGAGATTTGTTTTCTTTGCTAGTTTAAACTTTCATGCATTTGTCATGCAGGCCTTATGGCAGACAGGAGAAAAAAATCAATTTGGTTTTTTCTCACAAACTTGCAAACAGCCACCATGTAAGAAAGCAACACAAATACTGTATGTGATGGTTGCTACATGTAAGGGCCATAATAGCCTTTATAAAATATAAGAAATTCACGTTCAGCAAACCTATTTGTACACATATACACTAATTGACCTAGTTTCCTGCCTTCACAGTCAATTAAAAAGTTACAAATTGATGTTTCCTTTTTTGCACGTGTATAACTTTATTATTTTTTAAAAAAAGAGAAACTAATGCAAATTAATATAAAGTAAGAAAAAGAAAAGAAGAAATCCTAGAGAAAGCTAAAAGTGCAAAAAAAGGAGGAAAAAAGAAAGAAAGAAAAAAGATATAAGCTTTTGATTTCTTTTACAGCAGTTATAAGCATAATTATAAATTTACCTCTTACTCTGCAGCTACATCATAACTCTCTTCTTTCTATAATTTATTCTATCTAATCATCAAAACTATAAATCACTTGTTCATTGTTCTCTGTTTTATGCAAAAAAGTTTGTAAGGTGTTTCCACTCAGCAATAAACATAGATATTGTCTTTTCTCTGATCAAAGAAATCAACCAACTCAAAAAGTCCCATCATTTTCAACTACCATGCCTCCATTGTGGTAGTACTGAATCTTTCCATTCTTGTACATACAATAATCTCACTGCATCTCTCAACTTATCATTTACAAAAACAAGGTTCCGTGGTTTTTCCCCAACTCTTTGTCCATCAATCCCAAAATAAAACTTCTGGTTTCAATTGTATACAGGTAGTTCTAAACTTACAACAGTTCATGTAGTGATGGTTCAAAGTTACAACAGCATTGAAAAAAGTGACTTATGACCATTTTTCACACTTACAACTGTTGTAGTAATTCAGACACTTTGCAACTGACTCACACTGATGACCGTTGCAGCGTCCCCGGGTCATTTGATCACCTTTTGGGACCTTATGACAAGCAAAGTCAATGGGAAAGCCAGATTCACTTAACAACTAATTTAACAACTGCAGTGATTTACTTAACAACCGTGGCAAGAAAGCTTGTGAAATGGGGCAAAATTCACTTGACAAATGTGTCACTTAGCAACAAAAATTTTGGACTCAGTTGTGGTCGTAAGTCAAGGACTACCTATATTAATCTTTAAAATCTTCTGAATCAGTATATTTGAATTCAGAATTTTGTAGCTTTTTTTCACAGCCACCAAACATGATAAAATGTCCCTTCTTGTTTACATCTCCAGCAGAAATTTAAAGTGCCTTTATACATTCTAAACAATTTCTCTGTTGACATATACCAATGGCACATAATCTTAAAAGACTTCTCTTTAAAATTATAA